GAAAATAACTTGTATCCTTCTGTTCCCTTTCCTTAACAACTTTCACTATGACGCTGCAGATTGAAGCCTGATCTTTCAATCACTAATCTGTAGAGCTGCAAAGTGATAGATTTAAGCACTAATCCCTCCCCCACCACCCCCCTCCCCACCCGCCCAGCACATTATTGTGAAGTCCTGTAACTCAATGGTTAGATCGCTCGCCTCGCAAGCGAGAGGACTTGGGTTCAATTCCCAGGCTGGGCAAAACATTGGGCAAGTTTCCTTACTCCATGCACACACCTCTGTTTACCCAGCAGTGGGTAGGAACCCGATTGTTAGTCGATTGGCGGACTCAGGGGGTAATAATCTATTCCAAAAAATAATAATAATTATTTGGTTACATGATCCACGGCTGCTGTGCACAACTGGCTGCTGCATTTCGCCCACAAAGTATACGGTCAATTCACTTTGCAGTATATTCCATGAAACGTGTGAATAAGGCCCTATATCAAATGCGAGGATTATTATTATTATTATGATTATTATTATTTTATTGGAGAGTGTAAACTCAAGCCCTGTATTCAAAGTCCTGACACAGGGTTTGAACCCACAGCAACAATACACAGCACCTTTCACTCGGGAGGACGTCCCAAGGCGTTGGACAGTCAGGGATTTGGGGATCAGGAGGGGTGGAGGGCAGGGAAGGTGGCGGAAGGAGAGTGACCAAAGGCACGGTCGAAGAGGAGGGTCTTGAGACTAGCTTTGAAAGAGGCGAGGGAGCAAGCGAGGCGAAGGGACTGTGGGATGGAGCTCCAAAGAGTGAATGAAAACGAGAATGATTTGAATGAAGAAGCCCCTTTGGGTCATTGGATCTCATCCCTTACCATACACTCACTCCGTCATCTTCCTGTCACGGCTCAGTACTGTTTCTGGCTCAGAGGCGATAGGGCTATCAACTGAGCCAGGCAGGTACTCAGTGACGGAGGAGGTTGGGTAGAGATTGGAGGACATCAGAAAGCACAGAATTTAACGCAACCCACAGTCTCTGATCTGTTCCTCAACTCACACCAACACCGCCCAATGTTAGGGTATCTCTCTCTCTCTTAGGGTATCATCCCTCTCTCCTCTGCATTTCCTTGCATGTATCTTGTGCCTTGGTTAAATGCCACCCTTACTCCCCCGTACCACATTTCCTAGCTATCTGCTACCGGCAGAATTAGCATTTTACAATTTCGCATCTGGTGTTCATCAATGATCCATTGTGGGAGATCCAGGAGACATGACCCATTGAATACACATTTTATAATAAATAATAACAATCGTTGCATTTGACACAGCGCCTTATCACGTCGTTGAGACATCTCAAATCCCTTCACAGAATATCTTGCCAGAATACAATTGGCTGCTGAGTTTCGCCCACAAAACGTGGATTCCTGTAGCTCAGTGGTTAGAGCACTCGCTTTGCAAGTGAGAGGCCTGAGTTCAATTCCAGGCAGAGGGCGAAACCTTGGGCAAGTTTCCTTACTCCACACAGAGCCTAATAATAATCCCTCCAAAACCAAAAACAATAATAAATTGGTCATTTTCAATCTACGACTGTTTGTGGGACATTGCTGTGCGCAATTGGCTGCCGCGTTCGCCCACAAATATACAATCAATTTACTTTACAGTGTGTTCTGTGAAGTGCTTTGGGACGTCCTCCCGACGTGAGAAGCGCTATATCAAACGCAAGGATAAAAAAAACACACACAGCCAATCCACTTAACAACATGTGGTGTGAAGGACTTTTGAGATGTCTCGACGACTTGATAAGGCGCTATATCAAAAGCAAGAATTATTATTATTATTATTATTATGCAACGACTGGGATTTATATAACGCCCTTCACCCAGGACAGAGTCTCGGAGTGCTAGAATAATTCTAAACTGGTGTAGAGCTCAGTTTGCCCTGGACGATGGGAAATCCTAATGGGGAAACCCACGAGGAAATTCCTCGTTTCGAACCCACAGACTCGATGGTGACATTGCTGTCGTAGAGAGACACGTACACAGACTCTTCCCAGAGTAAGCTCTGACCATTGACGTTCAGTGATTCTCCGAGGAGCAGTGGTCAGACACAGCACTGCTGAATGGTAGTCACACTATCTGTAGGGATATCATTAATTCAGAGTGTCACCACCTGCAATCTGATAACCAAACTCTTGCCCTTTTTAACAGAGTTTTGCTTTATTGCACAATTTCATCATGTGCTCAAGCAGCTATTTGTTATCAAGGTTCATCAAATTTGTGGCCATTTTAGTCGCAGAGGAAGGTTTAATTTATCACTTGAATTCAAGATCCTCTCGGTGAGCTTTTAAACTCCGCACAATATTTCTGCTCCCATCCTTTTGCGATCTTCACAATCATAAAAAGAGTCATTAGATTTGATGCAGCGCCTTAGCAAGTCATTGAGACGTCTCAAAGCGCTTCACAGGACACAATGTCAAGTGGAGTGACTGTGGATTTTTTTTTTTGCGCGTGGGCAAACGCGGCAGCCAGTTGCACGCAGCAACGTCCTACAAACAGCCATGGAGTGAGTGACTGATTTCACTTTATCTTCTCCACTCAATCCTCCAGTCTTCCTGCTCTGTCCTCCCGCTCATTCCTCCCTCCCTCTCACCCGACATCGGTGATTAGGCCTTCAGCCACTGTGACCTTTGGCTCTGTGAAATTCAACCTCCAAACCCCTTCGCCTTGCTCCTTCTCTCCCTCCCTACAAATCCCTCTTAAAAAGGTAGCACATGGCTATTTTCTAGATCAATGCCCTCCTTTCTCTCGGGAATCACTGCTTTCTTTGGAAAGCGCAATAACATAAGAACGTAAGAATTTCCCAGGCGAAGGAAGACCAAGGTCCATCCAACTCGCCCTCCTCCATCGTTTGATGTCCCAACCTGAATACTACATCCCGAGATATTATCTCCCAACAGAAATCTATTTAGTTTGTTCTTGAATAAATCAACACTTTCTATTTGCACTCCTCGGGGATCCTGTTCCTCTGATTCTAATGTTCAGTACAAGATAAAACAGCTTATCGAGCACTTTCAGACATTCATCTTACGTGAAATCTGCCATGAAAGCACAGGATTTATAATATAATAATCTCCACATTTGTTATATCGCCTTCTCACACCGTCAAAACGTCTCAATGCACTTCACAGGATTCATACTGCAAAGTGTGGTGACTGTGTATTTGCAGGAGACTGTGGCAGTCAATTTTTGCGCACAGCAGTGTCCCACAAACAGCCACAAGGTGAGTGACCAATTTTATTTGGGGGATTGTTGGCCGGGAGACTGGGAGAGAGAGAGAGAAACTCCCTTCTCTTTACAAATAGTGCCAAGGGATGGTTAACATCCACCTGAACAGGGGGACAGGACCTCGGCTTCACGTCTTATTCAAAGGACGGCACCTCGGACGATGCTAACCTCACGTGAAGTTGGATCCCAAAACCTTCTGCCTCACGTAAAGTGCAAATCATATAACAATATAACAATCTCTGCATTTGATAAAGCGCCTTTTCACGTTGCTGAAACATCTGGAATCTGTCCACCCCTCTCTCTCCCCCTCCGCCCGTCCCTTAAAGCCTCCCTTACGACCAACCTTTTTGACTTTGAGTTACCTTAGCGCCAACCCACCCACCCCCCACCCACCGCCCCCACCACCTCCTCGGCTTCATCCCCCCCCAAGTCAAGCTGTGTGAAAGCTCTTTGAGACGTTCTCTTGACGTGAAAGGCACTGCGCGAAGCTAAATTGAGAAATCGCTGTGGTTTGGTTTCATGCTGTCATTTTTGGAGAGGCCAGAAGAGGTCAGTTTGCTACAAAAAAAGGAAGCATTTGTTGCCAGTCAATACAGTGGTTGGCATTAAATCTTTGATAATAATAATAATCCTTGCATTTGAATACAGCGCCTTATCACGTCGTTGAGACGTCTCAAAGCGCTTCACAGGATACACTGTAAAGTGGAGGTATTTTTAAAGGATTATTACCCCCAGAAGGCCAATCCACTAGCAACCGGGTTCCTAATTATTGCTGGGTAAACAGAAGCGGGTGGAGTAAGGATCAAGGAAACTTGCCGAAGGTTTCGCCCGGCCCAGGAATCGAACCCGGGTCCTCTCGCTTGCGAGGCGAGCTCTCTAACCAATACGCTCTGCGGACTCCACTGTAAGGAAATCGTGGTGAGCGAAATGGCTGCAAATGCAAAGTCACTACACCCTGCAGTTAAAAAAAAATCCCTTGAAAAAATCCCGCGGGCAGCCATGGAGTGCGCGACGAATTTTTTTTGGGGGGCCGGGAATTGTCCGCCAGGAGAGAGAAAAATAAACTCCTTACTCTTTTCGGATTTTTAACGTCCGCCTGAAAGCCATTCAGAGGCTCGAACTTAGTCTGACATCTCTTCTGAAGGACAGAATCTTGATCATGCAATGTTGCCTCTCACACCCCCCCACCTCTGCACCGGAGGGTCAGCCCGTGAGCTCAAAGTCTCCGACACGATCGGTGGGTGTGCTGTCAATGGATTGATAACCCCCCACCCCCACTCCCTCGCTCAGCTTTTGGTGACTAACAACAAGAGCTTCTGTAGAAAGGTGCTGTGTGCGTGCATTTATTCCTTGAACAGCTTTGCCACACACATTCTGGCCCGCTTGCTGTTCTCGCTTTCAGTTGCAGCTCAAAAAACACACGGCTTATCTGCCTTCTTTCCACTTCTATGAAATCACTCGATTGCAAAGGAAACGTTTGCAGGCTCTGGGTTCTGTGCACAACCTAGTCGGACAAGGTGCGGGCGGAATCCATTATTTCGCGCCGACTTGCATTTAAATAGCGGCGCTTCACCCGGATAGCGTCTCGGAGCGCTTTATGGCGGTGTGGTTCGACTCTGAGCCGGAAAGAGAGGAGGGGTGGGGGGGGGTGATCGAAGGCACGGTCAAAGAGACATGCCGCTTCAGTGGTCAGGAACTCACGTTAGTAAAAGACCTTTGGAGTCATGATGATAGTCTTATTTGTTCACACCTTTATTTGCTTTAAGAATCATAAGAATTTTCAGGCGAAAGAAGACCGAGGTCCATCCAGTTCGCCTCCCAGCAGCCTGGCCCTCGCGTGACATGTCGTGTCCCAAACCACCGTATACACCGTACCCCGAGATGTTACTTCCTTACAAGAATCTATCTAATTTGTTCTTGAAAGAATCGACCCTTTTCTGCTTCCACCGTCTCCCTTGGGAGCCCGTACTATACGTTTTACTACATAGAAACAGGAGGAGGCCATTCAGCCCCTCGAGCCTGTTCCGCCATTCTATAAGGTCATGGCTAATCTGCAGCTCAACCCCTTTACCCGCCCTTGCCCCGTATACTACTCGCTCACTGAAGTAGCGTTTCCGCAGATTAGTTCTGAATTTTCCCCCATTGAATAGCAGGCCGTGTCCTCTGGTTCTGCTATTCAGTACAAAGTAATACAGCTTATAATCTATAATAAATTATCCAGTAGTCCCTTTAAGTGATCTAGCCACTACAAAGAGCCAAGGAGACAGATACAGTTGAAGGCTTGCAGACACAGTTGTATGACAAGTATTGTATCCTCGGGGACACCAAAGAAGCCTGTTTCCTGGATGTAAGCGCTGTCGAAATTCACAAACTGAATGTCCTTCTGCAGGTAGAGTTTGTTGGTTTTCTTTAAGCTTCGAACGAAGGTGTACTTAGCGGCTGTACTGGAGGCTTCCCAGGTGCAGAGAGTCTGAAAGTGCATGTCAAGGTGAGGGTTGTCCTGGAGCAAAGAGAAAGACACCAATTGTATCAATAATAATCTTTGCATTCGATGCAACGCCTTATCACATCGTCGCGACGTCTCAAAGCGCTTCTGCCGAGACTGCGCGAGTTCGAAGTGAGCAATCAATTTGTCTGGTGGATTGTTGGCTGGGAAATCCCTTCTCTTCAATCCATAACGCGTGATATTTTTATAGTTCCATCAACTAAAGGAAAAGCGGTATCTTAAACACAATGAATAAAACTAGCCTCATCTTTCCAATGATCTCATTGCGCCTGAGGATTTCTCGATATTACGTCCCTGCACTAAACGTTCGCTAAGAATCAAGTGCAGATTAATTCCAAAAGCCAAGTAAGTGAAGAATATTAATGGAGTATTGATTAAATGCTCCTTTACGTTACTGAAGCCAGGAGCTGATGATCATTGATTCATTTAAATCCACACCGATAATTAATCATGATGGTTCATAGTACTTTTGGAAAGATATTTCAATCCATTGCACTTGATACAGAGCCTTATCACACCGCCAGACAGCTTCGCAGTATTTTTTGCATGGAAGAGTGTCGGACTTTGTGTCTGCAGCCGATGCGCGCATCACAACACAGTGTGAATCCCGTCACGTATTGATTAGAGAGCTCGCCTTGCAAGCGAGGGGACCCGGGTTCGATTCCTGGGCCGAGCGAAACCTTAGGCTACTTTCCTTGCTCCTTACTCCACACTCCTCTGTTTACAAAGCAGTAAGTAGGAACCCGGTTGCTAGTAGATCTTCTGGGGTTAATAAACCCTTCTAAAAAACAATTGGGTCACTCAATCCACGACTGTTTGTGGGGACGGTGCTGTGCCGCGTTTCGCCCACAAAGCACACAGTCGATTCACTTTACAGTATGTCCTGTGAAGCGCTTTGAGACGTCTCGAAGACGTGATAAGGCGCTATGTTAAATGCAAGGATTATTATCTTTTCTGACTATTACAAACAAAAGTGAGTGACCAATTTTATCTGGGGGATTGTTGGCCCTGGAAACTGGGAGAGAGAGCGAGAGAGACCGAGATCATTTCCAATGACTTCAGCTAGAAAGGGTATAACCTGTTAAATGGATGACTTCGGAAAGAAAGGTGACTTTGGTAAAAAAAAATTCTCTCCGACCTCTTTCGAGAGTGGTCAAGTGGTCGGAGGGACAGGGGTGGTAAGGGGGGGGGGATAAAAAAAAAGAGATTAATTAGCGTTTTCTCTGCTATCGAGTGCAATGCATAAGCAAAGCATCTGCTAATTATTTCATCTGAAACAGAGATGGGACGATAAGGTGAGGTTTCAGGGCTGTAGACTGTTGGGTTTTGAATGAGCAATTGAATCCCACTCATTAATTGGAGACATCTGATGCATTCAAAGAAAACTGCATGCAGTAATTGTGATGTCAAGGACTTCTGAGGATATTACCATTGACAATTATTAGAATACATTTCTCCACAATCAGCAGGGTATTTTGTTGCTTAACAGGGCAGCCTATTTTTTTTTCCCTGAGCGGATTTGTGCATTGAACTCAGAGACACGATCAATAATATGTTCAATAAACGTTATAATGCATCAATAACATAACATAATACATCAACTATAATATAATATATCAGTATAATATATTAAGATGTAATATAATATCAATGCTGAGATAGTATGCCAGTGATAAATAATGACAATAATAATTTGGTCACTCAATCCACCGCTGTTTGGGGGACACTGCTGTGTGCAATTGGCTGCCGTGTCTCGCCCACCAAATACACAGTCACTCCACTTCACCGTACATTCGGTGCAGCGCTTCGAGACATCTCAACAACGTGATAAGGTGATAGATCAAAGGATTATTATTATTATTATAACCAATCGGGCGATTTTGTGAATAAGAGTTCAGCGTTTCAGATTAAATACTTCCAGTCTGGAACTGCCTTCCTCACTCCCTTCGTCTCGTTCCCTCCCTTCCCATTTTCAGAAGACCCTTCTTTTCGACGGCGCCTTTGGTCACCTTCCCACCCCCCCCCCACCACCTCCCACTCCCCATGGCTCGGCCCCGGGATCTGTTACTGTAAAGCGCTCTGAGACGCCGTCCGGCTTGGAGGGCGCTATATGAATCCAAGTTGTTGTTGATGTGAGCTGCTGTAAAGTGGAGTGACTGTATCATTTGTCGGTGAAAACAGTGGCCAAGTCATGCACAGAAATGTCCTGCTATGAATTGAGTATCCAATTTTAACAGGGGATTGGGGTTGGGGTGGGGGTGGTGTGGGGGTGGGGGTGGGTGGGGAAGAGGGGGATTGTAGGCCAAGACACCAGGAGAGAGAAACTCCCTTTACTTGATAACAGCTTCTGACCTTAGCTCAGTCAATTCCATCCGCACAGACTACAAAATTCCCTTGACATAGCTTCGAATAAAATCATTGACTCAAAAGCAATTAAGAGACTCCGTAAGCTTTTATTTTTTTCCGACTGATGACATTTGGATGTGCTCGTTTCTCCACAGCCAACCCCCCACCCCCACACTCCCATCACAACCCCGCTGGTACTTGATTCCATCTCATCACTTCGCTCTTGACGTTATTTTAGTTTGTGAGGCTGAACGTGAAAGGATTGCAAACTGCGGTGTCTGTCTATCTGATGCACACATCAAGACTGTAGCAAACACTGACTGCAATTGATGAAATCAACTCCTAATACTTTGAGTTGATGAACACGGTGAGAGGGACACCCAATACAAATGCAATCACCTTCCACCATCCTGACAGTCGCCTTCACAAGTCACACGCCAAACTATACACTGTGTCCCGAGATATTATTTCCCAACAGAAATCTATCTAAATTGTTCTTAAAGGAATTGGCACTTTCTGCTTCAACCGTCGCCCGAGGGAACCTGTTCCATAAATTTACAATTACTATTTGCTCACCAAAGCAGCGTTTCCAACTTGGTCCATCAACATGTCCCAACTGTGTGACCCAGAAAACTAAGAGCTAGGAAGGTCCCAATTGGGTTATAAGGTTGACTTTATAGTTTTCCGTAGAAAGATTAAACTTGACCCCAATCGCAGTAACTTTTAAAAAGAGTTCTGTCAGTCATTTTATATCTGCTGTTGCTCATTAATTTGCGATCACTTTTGATACGGGTTGAGATTAACAACATCTGTGATGCAAATCAAGAGTTTCATTTCACAGCTATTTTCAGCTGAAAGTTGGTCCAACTGCTGATGGGTAGAAAAGTACCTGTCTTGGTCATTAACTGAGAATTGCAAGGAACGCTTTGATGAATAGAGATTCTTTAACAGCAGCTAACGCACAAAAACGAATGCGGATGATCAAAGGAACGTGCGATCTTACTTTCGTTGCATCTCTTCCGTCCACCAATACCAGGTCTTCCAAGTACCAAACCTCCTGCCTTCGGCATTTTTCCCTCAGTCCATTTGCGGGGACTTTCAGATACACAATCATCACCTCCTCATCCCTGGTGACTGATTTGGAGAGAGATGCCACAATAATGAAAAGCAGTTTGTAAAACAATTGCAAAATGCAGTTTTATTCTAAAAATAAAAACACATAATATTAAGCGTGTAAGGAGAAGATTTCTTAGACGAAAAATCCCGTGGCAAATCCTGCGGTTAGAGCTCTCGCCTCGCAAGCGAGAGGACCTGGATTCGATTCCCGGGTGGGGCGAAATGTCCGGCAAGTTTCCTTACTCCACTCGCCTGCTTACCGAGCAGTTAAATAGGAACCCGGTTGCTAGTGGATTGGCAGATCGCTTTCCGGGGGTAATAATCCTTTCCAAAAAAAATAAATAAATGAATAAAAATGGCAATAATGACTCGTTCACTCAATCCACGACTGTTTGTGGGGACGCTGCTGTGCGCAATTGGCTGCCGCATTTCGCCCACAACATACACAGTCAATTCGCTTCACAGTGTTTCCTGCGAAGCGCTTTGAGACGTCTCAAAGACTTGCTGAGACGTCACATCAAATGCAAGGGTTGTTATTAAATGATTATAAAAGATGCTGGCTTATTTTGCTGTATCATCGATTACCTGCGATGCACAGGCAGTGTTCTTCATTCTCTTCGGAAGTCCTCACTTGCATGACGTGAACTAGCTTCTCCCCCTTCGGAGCGAAGACTTTCTCTTGCAACATTGCCTTCCGTACGGATGCCATAGTCGCCGCGAACGAGTGCCTCGACACCCGCCCCGCCCTGCGCTCCACACGTCCACAAGAAGAATTATTTCGCCATTTTCGCCCAGAGTCCGAGCTTAGACGCTGTATTTACTGCAACCTGACAGCTTCTGTGACGGCTTTGCGCGTCGGCTGAAAATCAACAACAGAATAAAATGTAACAGAAACTGGGCTGCGCTATAAAGTGATGGGACCCATTAACGATCCATTAAATCCGGGGCAAACGCAGTCACGAGACTGAGAGACACTCGGTCGCAGGAGGAATCGGTAACCTGAGAGTTTGCATCAATTGTCAGACAGCAACCAGCCACCGGAACCAGCAGGGCTCAAAGCTACAAAGAAATGACTGATGGAAGGCAAAACTACCTTAACCTGATTCCACAGCGCATCATGCACTCAAGAGGCTGCAAACCCCATCTAAATCAATCCCAAGCATTTTTTTTTCAACTCCGAGCACTTAATGCACAGGCACAGTGGAAACTGACGTGATTTAGCAGCGCGTTTTGAGAAAAATACCCTCCACTAGAATTTCCTGGAAATTGGTGCAGGCAGACGAACGATACAATGCCACTACTACGACGACGACTGATCCTTGCATTTGACGTAGCGCCTTATCACGTTGTTGAGACGTCTCAAAGCGCTTCACAGAACATGCGGTAAAGTGGATCGACCGTGTATTTGCGGGCGAAACCCGGCAGCCAATTACGCACAGCAGCGTCCCCACAAACAGTCGTGGATTGGGTGATATTTTTTTCTCTGTGGAAGATTTATTATCCCCGGAAAGCAATCCGTCAATTGACTATCAACCAGGATCCTACTTATTGCTAGGTAAACGGGTTTAAGGTTTGGACCCGCCCGGGAATCGAACCCCAGGCAGATCCAAATCTTGCGAGGCGAGATAGCTGACCACCACGCTACCGGCCTCCACTAATTCACAGATATGTACGCAGCCCTTTAACACAAAACCCTGTAGAAACGGGAAGTGGGAAGGGTGGAGAAGAGACCGAAGAGAGGGAGGAGAGTAATTCGGAGGCACTTTGCGCCAACCAATCTACATCTGAACCGAAATACCATAGTCACCTATACCTGTCATATAGCTCCATTAACAAGACATACCATTCAAGGCGAATGGGGCCAGTTGTATTGGACAACTTTTAAATCTGTTGAAGGACTGGCTCCAGATCTGTTCCATTTTCTTAGCAATTTCAGAGAGTCCAGAATTTGGCAACTTCTTAATTAACAGCCTTACTTTTGAAGCTGTGTTTTTTTCCCCACCTGAAAGTTTCTTTCAACACCCATTTTTCCGGAGCTGAAATAACGGGCATAAGGTGTCAGAAAGCTTCCCAGAGACGGGTTCGGAGGCCAAGCAATTGTCGGGCAGGAGAGGAGAAATTTAGGCGCGGTCAAAGAGAGACTTAGATCGGTCTTTAAAGGCAGGATTTAAAGACAGATAGAGAGGGGGGGGGGGGGGGTAGGCATTAAGCTGTTTAAAATGCACTTAGAGAAATCCCCAAAAGACTTCACTGTCTCTTGAGCTGTTCAAGAACTTGGCAGCTCACCCAAGAGTTTTGCTGGTTTCTTTTCGTCCTCAATAATTTAGCATTTAGTTTAAATAACAAAACAGTCTTCAAAGGTGGGGGGGGGGCGGGGGGGAGCAGGCTAACATCTGCTAGCCGACCGGATGAGCTCAACTTTGAATTCTTTGGAAGCACACGTTCCTGAGAAAACATTGCCAAACAGATTGCAGCAGCAAAGAGATATTATACGCCTTGTGTTAATTACACACATGGACTCATTGGGGCCTTTTCCAAACTAGGCGAATGGTCTAAGGTATTTATTTACGAACTGACTTTTTGTCGAGTGGTTAAGGCACGCGAAGGGGCCCTTTCTTTGTGAAGAATTTTACTTGCCCCCTCCGCGCGCACAAACACACACGCACACGCCCTCCCTCTCGAAACTGGTGTCACTAACTCCGCAGCCAGGTGGACACTTATACAGCAATCTGCCCTTGTCCCGTTTCCAGTTCATGAGGTATCTGGAGAAGACAGGTTTGCAGGGTTATGGGGAGAAAGCTGGTGAGTGGGGTTAATAAAAGTCAGTTGCTCTGTCAAAGAGCGGGCACACACTCGATGGGCCGAATGGCCTCCTTCTGTGCCGTAACATCCTATGATTTTATGATCTATGATTCTATGAGCCCTTCAATCAGTGAATGAATGTCGGCCGAAAACGTACTAACCATTTACTTTAAGTTCGTCAACAGCATTCTGCAAACCACACAGATTCCACTCACTCAGCAAAGTTAGATGTAATTGACATTAACTCTTGCCATTTCAAAGCCACACACTTAATTAACTGTTTCCAAAGGTAAAGGATTTCTTTAAACCACATTAACCCTGAAACAAATAACCGAGACTCTCAACGACGTGATAACGTGCTATATCAAACACAAGGATTATTATTATTAATTGAAGTCTATGCAGCATGTTTTAGGTCGGGAGGACGTCTCAAAGGGCTTCAACACAGCTGACTGGGAACCGCTGAAATAAAGTAGAATTATTGGCACGTAAAGCCTCAAAGCGCTTTGGGGAGACGATAGAGATAGAAAGGAGATTAATAATAATCCTCTCATTTGATATATTGTCTTATCATGTCTTTGAGATGTCTCAAACGTTTCACAGAATATATTGTGAAGTGAATTGACTGAACGCTGCTGTGCACATTTGGCTGCGGCATTTCGCCCACAAATGTACGGTCAATTCACATTACAGTCTGTTCTGTGAAGCGCTTTGAGACGTCGAGAAAACGTGAAAAGCGCTATATCAAATACAAGGATTATTATTATTATTATATTATATTTTATGGGCGAAATGTGACAGCCAATTGTGAACAGCAGTGTCCCACAAACAGATTGATTGAGAATTTTTTTTTCTTGGAGAGATTATTATCCCCGGATACGCCAAACAACTAAAAACCGGGTCCCCGCTTACTGCGAGGTAAACAGAGGCGTGTGGAGTAAGAAAAATTGGATAAGGTTTCGCCCTGTCCGGGAATCAAACCCAGGTCTTCTCAATTGTTAGGCGATGCTTTAAGCTCTACACTCCGGGACTTCACAAGTCAACGGTTTGGGTTAAAACAGGTAGTCAATGGGGATTTTTCTTTTAAAAGGATCTTGAAAGCTTAAGAGTCGAGGCGTTTTAGGAGAGAATTCATTTCTCTGATCTAACTCATCTGAGAATCAATATTCTTTACAACCCCTTTATTAATCTCTACGGATCGAATGGCTTCACAATGCTTTTGCTCAGAACCTGAGGCTGAATTTGACTGACCCACAATTTTGGGGGTTATCCAAATCCTACACAAACGCCTGTTAAAAGGTTAATCTAAACCTTTCACATCGTCACCTCCAAGTGCTTCACAGGATTTACTGTAAAGTGTAGTGAGTGTGGCTTTCGTGGGCTCTTTCCCCATTCCCTGGAATTATTTCACTGCTCAGGTGTTTATCCAGTTCCCTTTAGAATGATTGTATTGCTACAGCCTCAATAATAATAATAATCCTGGCATTTGATATAGCGCCTTATCATGTCTTCGAGATGTCTCAAAGCGCTTCACAGGAAATACTATGTATTTTGTGGGCGAAACACGGCAGCCAATCGCCCACAGCAGTCTCAAGTGCCCAATTATCAATTGCCAACTGTGGCAATGAATTCCACGCCCCACTTTTCCGTGAGCGAAGAAATTCCTTGCAAACCTCTCCCCCTTTGATCCCTCCACTGACGGCCCTGACCCCCTGCCCTCTCATTACCCCAGGAGACCTATTAACACAAGTAAACCCTGAGCACAAACATTGCTCGTTCGGGAAATCCAGGACTCTTTCATTCTCAGCTCTTTAGTCCAGAATTCCAAGGAGCAAGCTGTGTCAACAGGTCTGCTTTTGGACGAGACGTGCCACATTGAGCACAGTTTGTCTGAAACCTCTGTACTTTACAACACGTGTGAAGCTCACATTTGGGATCGTGAACGGCAACTAACTGCCTGCGTTCGTTTGGTTATTTGGTTATCCGTTTCGCATCTTGAAGACGTTATAAGGCACCATATCAAATGCAAGGATTATTATTATTATTATGCCTGTTTGTGGGACATTGCTTGCTGCGGGCGTGTGTCTGTGTGATTGCGTACCTGCAAAATTCACAGTCACTACACTCTCCAGTCAAATCCTGCCAAGCGCTTTGAGACATTTTGATGACCATGATAGGTTTATTTTTAACAGATTCCGGTTCATTTTTAAACAGATCAACTGCCTCCGTAACTATGTTCGCTCAAATCCTGATGAATCTCGCTCCTTTAAGCGCTATCTTTGGCAATCAAAGGCACTTTGCAAATAAATGCAAGTTCTTCTGCTTGTCGTGTCAATGGCCACTTTGGGAGGCCTCAGTCACTGCCTTTTCTTGGCTGTTCTGGTCCCGATCTGTACAGCTGGTTCCCATTTCTCTGCCGGGATCGATCGGGGGAATCAGGCTCTGCTTTTGCTGTTGGAAACGTGTCAACATAGTAATCTCCTGACATCTTTTTCCTGAACGTTGTATTTAAAAATGTGCAAAACTTTCCACGGCGTTATTTTTTTCAAACCATCACAGTTGGGGTAAGGTACGGGTCGAAAGGCATTGCCCTGACACCTGCAGAGTGTGCCAAGCCGTGCACAGTTACTACACTTGACAGCTATTTGCCCGCGGGTGCTTGGGAGCCGTTAGTGCATTGTAGGCGCCATACAGAATGCATGAAACTCCTGATAAGTCATCACCCCCGAGGGAAAGGAGCTCTGCAACTAGTTACCTGCTGTGGCGAGTTAGGCGTAGGTATCAGGAGTTTACTGTATTTATTAATTTTTGTTCTACTGTTTGTGTTCTCACGGCCTTCAGCATCTCTGCCTCCGCCTTTGGAACTCTATCCCACTTTCCCATCGCCTCCCTCACTCCCTCCTTCAAGGCACAACTAAAGACCCTCCTCTTCGACCTCACCTTCAGTCACCCTCCAACCCCCCCCCCCCTCCCTGTCCTCCTGATCCCAAACCCCTTCCTACTCAGGTCCAAATCCCTGGCTGACAGCGCCTCAGGACGTCCTCCGGCCATGAAAGGCGCCGTGTAAATGTCATTTTTTTTTTGTCGTTCTCCTCCCCGCTTGATTCTTCCAGGGTAGGAAAACGTGCCATTAAGCCAGACTCCCCAAGTAATTGATTTTCTCGTTTTATTGATTGGTTCTAGCACAGTGAAACAATCCACAAATCCATTCATCTTGCTCCATCCAAACAATTTTCTTTGTTCTGGGGGGAGGGGGGGGGGGGGGAAACAGAAAAAAAAGACAATAAAATTAAGACTTTTTGAAACCCGTTTAACAAAATGCTCAACGTAAAGTCTCACCCCCATCCTGACGTGGCGTTTCGAGTCCGTAAAGATGCCAATTAGGGTGAAATGCCCGTGAGATAAAAATGGGCTCCACGCCTGCTTCTGGGCGCATAACACCAAAGGTGACGAGGCAAGGGAACTGAGACGGTATCGCCGAGGACTCGCGTGTTCGGATTGGCCCGACTCCGTCACGCGAAGCTTCTGGACTGGCGTCGGGCGAAAGGCTTCAGAGAGGGAATTACACAAGGGGAGGTCCGTCAATCTGCCCATCAAACGCTACAACAGTTAAACTACAAGAGGGTTAGGAAGATCACACGTGCAAAAGGCACGGAGATTGATTGACCATCGTAAGGCACATCAAAGCGGTGTGTTTTTTCTCCGCCCTTTTCCGCCTCCAAATTCTCGACCCCCGCCCCATCCCCACCCCCGCCCTCTCGAGGTCTGAAATTCCACCCAGTCCTAACCTGCAAGACTCAAGAGTTGGATGAAACGTTCTCAATTTCCGTTTCCATCCGCAGGCCGTGTGTTTTTTGTCCATCAAAAGAGAATTCAGACGGGATTGAGGAAATTTCCCGTGATTCTGGTTGATTGTCAATCTTAAGACCAAAAAAAAGGATCTTGCAGGCTAAGACGAGGTGGAATTTCGGGGGCCTCTCAAGGCACTGGCTTGTACTTGAGATATGATTCCCATTGAACTGACTGCCATCCTGCATCTCGCTGAGAGCAACGAGGAAAGACTGGATAAGATAAACATAGACTCAGAGGGCACTTTACACAGTTCCGTGAGGGATCGGGTAAATCAACCGGGACTCGTGGTTTCAGGTCAATAAGGTTACAGGAGAAGAGAGCATGAGTTTGGGGGATAGGAAGGGTAAATTCAGGACAGACACCAGGAAGCATGGCAAAATAATATTGCTACATAGAGAGCCATCAACAGCTGGAATGGGTCATCACCAGGAAGGGAGGTTGTTGATGGACTGACATGTTTGGGACCCAGCTCAATGGAAGGATGATGGGATCACAGGAGCCTCCAAAGGGACCTTCTTCATCCATAACTTTCTTTGGTTTTTTTTAATATATATATATATATATATAAAAATGGCTTGTAGACAAAGTTAGGAATGGTGGGATTTGGACAGCGATTCTCACCATCACAAACAAACTAAAACCGGGACCGTTCTGGGGAAAGTTACGATGCATTTGAGTCTCCTCATCACTTAGCGGACGAGCGCAAGAAAAAAAAACACACATCCGATCTGTTGAAATATTAAAGGGCTTGCAAGCCATAAAGGCCTTCCGGCTTAGACTCTTTGTCTTTTACGGGAATGAATGACATGGAATGTCTGATTCTTAGCGCTCGACAGAAGCAGAACTCCCTTGATTTCCATTAGGTTTGTGATGTTCTTTGATGTTTAACCTGACAGGCCACAGTGGGACAGTAATCATACACATGCACCCGCACTTACACACACACACACACACACACACACACCGCTCAACTTAGGCGCTTCTCCCACTTGCCTTCCTGGCTGTCTCACAGAGAAATTGGGGCCTAATTAAAAAAAAAACACAATCTGGGTATCATTACTGAACTCTCAGCGAGTTTAATTTATGGCAACTAAATTCTGCTGCAGTTTTCGATTAAAAAACAGCTCTCTTTTGCTTCGCATCTGGGGATGTTTGGCTATGTTTTCAGGCTGCCCGGGGTCTGACGGAGAGAGAGAAAGAGCAAGAGACAGAGAGAAAGAACATGGTGAAGCCNTTTTTTTTGTGCAACAAGGAGATCCAATGTACAACGGTGATAGGCTTCCCCCAGAAGTATACCAGACGTACTTTTCCCACAAAATTATCTGCGCGCACACGCATGCAAACGTACATGTATACATACACACCCGCTCACATACATACATACACATGCACACATACATATCAACGCACAAAGGACATACCTACCTAGACATATGTACAAATGCACACGTATATCAACATTCATATTCACATCCAGACAAACACAGACATCCATCAAACAAGCAAACACGCACGCATACCAACACGCACACACATGCACACACTGACACGCATCCATTCAAAGTTTGGGGTTTTGTCCTCACGTCTAAGTCATTGAGACGGAAAGAATGAAGCAAGTTCCCCCCCCCTCCCCACACTCCAAATACTCAGGGCTGCCATTTCTCTCGAGCACACAAACCAAATGTTCCAATTGTTCTTACGGAAAGACCGTTGTTTGGGTATAAGGTGATATAAAGAGGGACTGGTTCAATGAGATTATCCAGGGATATCGTATCGGAGAGGGCGCGGGTGGGAACAGTGAACAGTAGATCAAGGATTTCACAATGCTCAAAGCAAACGAGATGAGATGAATTGTTCTGTCGGATGATCCTGGGAAGAGACGGGGAGTAAAGCAGGAATAACGTGGAGGAAGGCGAAGGCTCAATCAATCAACTTCTGTCAACCCACACCGCCTCTTGAACTCCTGCCCTCGCTCGTGAATCCACTTGTTAGCGACTGGGGGAGAGACAAAGGCAAGAGTCAGCCAGGTGACAAGAGTCTCACCTTGATACAGTACAATAATAATGATAAATAACAAGTCTTGCATTTGACACAGCACCTTATCATGACTTCGAGACGTCTCAAAGCACTTTAGTGAATGGACTGTATATTTTGTGGGAGAAACACGGCAGCCAATTGCGCACAGCAGTGTCCCCACAAACAGTCGTGGTTTGAAGTGACCAATTATTATTTATTATCATTCATCTTTTTGAAGGAATTATTACCCCCGGAAAAGTGATCCGCCAATCGACTAACAACCGGGTTCCTACTTCCTGCTGGGTAAACAGAGGTGTGTGGAGAAAGGAAACTTGCCCAACGGGAATGGAACCCAGGTCCTCTCGCTTGCGAGGCGAGCCCTCTAACCAGTGACTTACAGGACTCCAAGCTACAGAACGTTAACATTCTCACGAAATGCAATTGAAACGCGCCCTCAGCACATACAGAGAGCACTCAATGTATTAATTAAACTAATTACTGACCAGTTCCTTTGTTTTTGCAACCGCCGTTTTGATTAAAGTTGCAAATTCCCCCTGCGCCCCCGCCCCCCCCCCCCCCCCCCCGCACAGTCTCCATCTTCGGTCGCTTCCCCTGCAGCCCACCCACTTCCGCGCCCCCACCCCCCGCCCAAACCGAACAAAGGATTGGTTGCAAACAGGAGTAAATGCTATGACGGAGATTCTTACCCCATTTGCTTCCCACTAATACTGGACATGCTGCGTGCCTTGTCCTGTAATCACCTTCCCCACTCCTTAAGAGGTTGTACCAGAATACTGCCGTACCCTGTAGACACAAAGACATCACACCCCTTACATCAACAACTTGCAGGATAGCATTGCAGAGCCGGGGTGGGGGCGGGGGTGAGGTCAAGATAGGCACTGGTTGAAGAGAAGGAAGGGCAAGGAAGAGGGATAGAGGAAGAGTGTTCCAGTGTTTCAGGGCGTAGTGGCTGAAAGTGCATCACATCGCATCCCTCCGCCATGAAGTGCAAACCACCAAACAGATTTTGTTGGGGGTCAAGCCGGGTGTCGGACACGTAGGGAGGGGGTGGGTGGGGGGGAACCCATCACCGTGTTGCTTAAGAGTCTCCAAACCCAAACTGAGAATTCCAGGTCTCCACATGGAAATCTCTCCAGAAATCGATGGTTGGGACGGAACACGTACTCCCCTCACTCTAGTCAGTAAGAAAAAAAAACACACACGGTTACCTTTTTGGGATATACAGCAGCACCGAAGTCAGGAAATACTGTAGCTCCACCTGCTTGCACATCGCTCATCTGTTGTAAAGCAATTGCAAACACCTTGACGTCAGTACAGAGTCAGACTGGCTGCCTCGACTCCTTTCATGTTATAAATGAACCACAGGTGGATCCAAGGGGGATCCCAGCACAAATCCGCTACCACGTTAAACATCAACAGCTGACGATCGAGAAGCACGGACACCTGGCGTGAGATGGGGGGGGGGTTTGGTGACTCAGAGGTCGGACAGGCCACAAGCTCAGGATTACCTCAGTCTCAGCCACACAGCCCACTGAGACTGAACTAATCCTGAGCTCCTGAACTGCGACTAACTACTCTAATCCTAATCTCCTTGTGTTTCTCCTTTTATATTGTCAATCTTGCAATGTGCAACCAATTCCCTACATCTAATCAGACACAGGACAGGAATCCAGAACTCTCTCCCCCTCTCCAAAAGGCTGTGGATTACGGCTGGATCCATTAAAATTTTCTAGACTGAGGTGGAGAGATGTCTGTCAGGTCAGGGTATGAAGGGATATGGGGCAAAGGCGGGTAATTGGAGTTGAGGTACAGATCAGCCGTGATCTAATAGAATGAAATGAACCAGGTGAAACGATCACTGGGTCTTCAGAGTCGAAGCGGCACTCAACCGGAGAGCTTAGTACATCGAGCACGAAGCCACGAGAGGAACAGACAGGCGTGAAGAGAGACAACACCTGGACACAGCAGACATCACACAAGCCAGCAGAAGGTTAACCCTGAACGAGCGCAACTGCTGCTCTGAAAATGCAGGAAAGAGCCTTGAATCATGACAACCCCTTGCGACGAGCTCCCCTTCACCCAATTGTTCCTGATCATCTTCGTGATTAAATCTAATCGTTTCGCCCACAAAATACACAGTCACTCCACTTTACAGTACGTATTCCGTGAAGCACTCGGTGATGTGATAAGGCACTATGTCAAATGCAAGGATTATTAATCAAGGCTCTCTTCATCAAGTACCAATTTGCAGCAAGTTTCTTGCGTGTGCGCGCGTGAGTGTTTTTTTTCAAGAAGCTCTCGATCTTATTTACGGACTGTAAACCACTCCTTTTTTTTTCCAGATTTGCAACGACAACAACAAAATGACATTTGTTTAGTGCCTTTCACATCGAGAAGGACGTCCCAAGGCACTGGACAATCAGTGTTTCGCGGGGAAAGGAAAAAGGGGAAAAAATTTTCGTTCATTTCTTTGTGAAAATAAAAAGGAACGCTTCGCAAGCCTCGGGAGGAAGTGAGCACAGACACGTTTGAGAAGCCTTTACGGATCTCTGGAGTTGCGAAATTGTCGGCCGTATTTCTATTTTTGATAAGAGAAGATAAGAGAGAAAGTGTTTCCTCCGGTGGGGTGGGTCGGTAGCCAGAGGACACAAATTTAAGATAATTGGCAAAAGAACCAGAGGGGAGACGAAGAGATTTATTTATTTATTTTTATTTTTTATTTTTTTTTACCCGGAGAGTTGTTACGATCATTGCCCGAAAGGTTGGTGGAAGCGGATTCGAAAGGGAATTGGATGGGTGCTTGAAAAGGAAAAAAATGTGCGGGGCTGTGGGATAAGAGCGGGGTGGGGGTGGGGGGGTGCGGAGGGGGACTGGTTGGTTAGCTCTTCCAAAGAGCCGGCAACGGGCAAGATGGGCCGAATGGCCTCCTTCTGTGCTGTAAGGCTCTACGTCACTGTAAACATTCAGGACGTGAGAAATGACTACAGCTGGGGCCGATAAAACAGTCTTTATCTCGCAAGGTAGCAGAAACTGCAGCAAAGGCATAATAGACCTAGGTTTCGAAAGCTTGTGGGAGGAGAAGGGAGCTCACTGAAAGATAAATGTCAGCTGGCATCTGAGAACGGTAGGCGTGCATCTGTCTGACTCTTAAGTCATTTGCACACCGTCTTTTCCCATCCGGATTATTTCTGCCACCCCCACCCGCTTCCCTCCCTCCCTCCTTCCTTTCACACGTATCCTTTCACCAGAACCACCATTAATCAATAATGATTGTGTGCACGTGTGGGAGAGGGCAAAGAAGTGCGCATTAGATCGTATGTCGACACCCACTTTGCTCTTGGCTCAGCGAGTAGATGGCGCTATCGCCTTCCGGCCAGAAGATTGCGGGTTCAAGCCCCCATTTTGAACGAACATGGCTAGGCTGGCGCTCCAGTGTAGGATTGTGGGATCGCTGCACTGTCAGAGAGGTACTCTTGCGGTTGAGATGATAAACCAGTCGCCCCTGACACTATCTGAAAAGAGAAGGAAACTTCTCCCAGTGTCCTGTTCCACCAACCTTCCAGTTAATTCATCTCCTTTGGCTGTTTGCAGGACCTTAGTGTGTCCACGTTAACCTCCAAATATCCGGTCACTACATCCAACCGCAAGTACTTGTAGAACCACGTTATTAGTATATAATAATAATAACCCTCGCGTTTGATAGAGCACCATATCACGCTGTTGAGAATTATTGAGCTATATCCATCAAGAATTATTATTGACATCTCACTCAGGAAAGTTCGGATCGCTGCTGCTAGATGGCACTCAGGACACGGTAAATGAGCACGTTCTGTTGTCAATTGGGATAGTGTGGCCATTTCTTCCCCCAAGATCAGGAGATAAAGTGTGTTGTGTTGTGTGGGATGGAAAGGACGAGCCTGGAAGAGACTGAATTGGTAGAGGAAAGGGTCAGGCTGCAAAGGGATTTGAGGTTTGTTATAAGGACCTTAAAATCTTTTGGGTATTTTATTATTATAATAATAATAATCATCATCATCCTTGCATTTGTTACAGGGCTTTATTGAGACATCTCAGAGCTCGTCACAGAATATACTGCAAAGTGAATGGAATGCACATTTTGTGGGTGAAACACGGCAGCTAATTACGCACAGCGGTGTCCCACAAGCAGTCGCGGAATGAGTGACCAAATATTATTATTATTTTTTTGACGGGATCATTACCCCCGGAAGAATGATCTGCCAGTCGACTAACAACCGAGTGCCTACTTGCTGCTAGGAAAACAGAGGCGCGTGGAGTGAGGGAACTTGCCTAACGTCTCGCCTTGTCCGAGAATGGAACTCGGGTCCTCTCGCCTGCGAGGCGAGTGGTTTAACCAATACACTGCAGGACTCCACCCTGGCACATGTACTTACGTAGATTAAAAAAGTAGCAAGCCGATTCCCGGTGCCTAATTCTCTGAAAGCATCGGGTTCCTCTTTCTATAAAACGAAATGAGAATGAATAGACAAACAGAGAGAGAGAGAGCGACACACACCATTACTTACATAGATCAGAAAGGTAGCTAGTCTGTTCCCATCCGTCTGAAGAACGCTGTCAAAAGGACGCTGCAACAGATTTTGTTTAGAAAGCAATTTATCGCAGATGAATTTCATTCCGGTTAGTGTTTTAAACCCCTCCTCCACCCACACCTCCACTAACACTATCGACCCATTTCCCCTTTCCCTCAGGGAGAAGGTGGAAGCAGATAATGTCAATTCAGTCAAATGCAATTAGATTTCTCTTAGAAAATAATATTTGGGGAATACAATATACGAGTAATTTGAGACACGACGTACAGTGAGTGTGATATGTTTGGAAGGACTAGACAACTTTGATCTAAGGTTCCTGAAGCTTTCCACTGTGTCGGTAGATGAATCCATACTAAATTAATTGCCATCAACATCTCCATTGATGTAGCTTGTGACTACCAAGGGTGGGAGAAGGCAAATGAGATGGACATTGGCCTTTTAGGATTTTGCACCTCGTGAATCGTGCCAGAGGGCAAACAGGTCCTGAAATTTAACCCAGCGAGATCTGAATACCAGAGGGAATTGTCTGAAAGATTCCCAGAGAGTTTAATGTTATAAAGTAAACAAAAAGTCTTGTTATTCAGAGGAGAGCTCTCAGCTCAATCAACGTTTCCCTTGCAATTCACCCCCTAATGGGTTTCGCTGTGTGTAAACACAGCCCAGTTGTGTTTACACACATCTATCTGTGGAAAAAGTGGGCGAGATTGGCTTATATGCCCAAGCCCTTCACTTAAGATCTTTTTAGAGTTAATTATTAATTACATCCGACTTCCTAATCGAACATTTGAGGCACTGTTTTAAATATATATATATATATATACATATATATAAATAAAAGTTGTCAGCAGCCACCACTACTTACTCGAGAGAAATCAAAATGTGGCTCATATTGTCCTCCAACCCCGTAGTTCGCTACCTGTGGGGAAGAAACAGTCTGGTGAGTACCGTCACAGCTGAGGCTTACTGACCGTTCACCTACCCTTAATGATAATAATAATAATCCTTGCATCTGCTGGATGTTTCAAAGCGCTTCGCAGAATATACTGTAAAGCGATTGACTGCTTATTTTGTGAGCGAAATCTAGCTGCCAATCGCACACAGCGGTGTCCCACAAACAGTCATGGATCGAGCGACCAAATTATGACTTATTACCCAAAAAAAGATTATTATTTATTACCCCCGGAAAAGCGATCCGCCAATCAACTCACAACCAGGTTTCTTACTTACAACTGGTCAAACAGAGGCGTGTGGAATGAGGAAACTTGTCTAAGGTCTCGCTCCTCCCGGGAATCGAACCCAGGTCCGCTCGCTTGCGAGGCGAGCTCGCCAACCGCTGAGCTTACAGACCTCTGGAAGCAGCCTGGACTGCGAGCTATAAGCCCCCGATGCGGGGCTCGAACCCACAAGCTTGTGACTGACCGAGACGGAGTGATCGAGCCGGGTAAGATTACCTGGAGTAACTCCGCTGTTTCGACGTCTAAGCCGGTGATGTCCGCTATCCTCTGGTTGATTCGGACTATGACAGGATCCTCAGCGTCGTCCAGCCAAGCGCTTTGGGTCATAGAGAGACGGGACAGAGAGGAGGAGGAGGAGGGGGAAAAAAAAACACAACACAACGACTCTGAGAGGAGCTGTGCCCGGGAGCTGAGCCGAGCCGAGCCCTCGAAGCTGAGAAAGGAACAGATAATCATTCGACCCCAACCCTCCCGCGGGGGGGAAGGCATGCTGGTAATAGCAACAGTGCATGCCCAGCGCTCAGTGGGTTGTCCCGAGACTACAAAGCCGGACCCCGCAGACACTGATGGTTTCCTTAGCGATCCCACACCACGCTCGCTCTGCCCTCAACACGGCTCAAGAGCAATTCCTGATTGTCGGCAACGCTAGTGGATAAACCTCTGGCAGCGCGTGCACACACACACACACACACAGAGACACGCGCACAGCGACACGCGCACACATAGACAACAACAACAACAACAACAAGATTCCATTTATAAAGCGCCTTTCACGTCAGGAGGACGTCCCAAGGCGCTGCACAGTTGGGTCATGACCCGAGCATTGGGGGGAAATGGTCAGGGTGAGGGGAGGGAAGGGAGGGAGCGAGGAGGGGGAAGAGAGTCGAGAGGGGAGCTGAAGGCTCGGTCAAAGAGAAACGCACACAACGCACACACAGAGACATGCACACACAGAAACACGCACACACACACAGAGACACGCACACACACAAACCACACGTACATACTTATTGGTGACAGACTCACACGCTACGATGCAGTGTCTCACACACACACACACAAATAGACTGGTACAGCACAGTGTCTCTCACACACACGCCCGCGCACAATGCACAAACAAACTCGCTGACTTAACGCTTTGCGACAGAAACCATCAATCCCTGTGGCCCAACTTTATGCTCCTTCCGGTGCCTTGAGAAAGCTCAGAACACTGGCCAGCCAGACAGACATGGCAGATCAGGAAAGAGGAGGCAGGGGGTGAGGTGGGGGGCGGTGTGGTGGGGGTGGGGGGTGTGGAGAGAGGGTTGGTCACTGGATCGAGAGACACTTATTTCAGCAGCACTAGCATCAGCACGGGATAAACTTCACCTCGCCTGGTCACCACCTCGGACCTGTTCGCTATGGTCTGCCAACGATAGCAGCTTCTGTGTGAGACCAGACACCAATCTCCTCTTTGTCTATACAGAGAGGTTTGCTCGGACATCGATCGTATGTTACACAGTAAACTCCTGATTACTCGACCCTGACTTAACGTGTCACTAACACAGCTGGTCAGACTCCAGCAGTTACCCCAACGCACACCCTGGGCTCCCCGTGAGCCTTGGCTCTGGCCCAACCTGCACCTAATAGTTTCCGGGATTAGGTAAACAGGCTGCGTCCCTCTTGATCGATCCATTATAAAAATTATAACAATCTCTCTCTGGAATTTCCATGTGTGGGTGGGATGCACGGAACTCTCAGTTGGGTTTGGAGACTCTTAAAAGCTCGGTGATGGGTTTTCACACGTGTCAGACACCCGGCTGACCAAAAAAAAAGAAAAACATTTGTCACTGATACTTCAGTCAATGACCCGGCTGTATCTACATATTGTACGAATGCCTAACTCACTCCTCCAGATAACTCATCACTGACCTTGGAGTGGCAAGGTATCAGGAATTTACTGTAATAACGTAATCGCTTAAGCAGGATCTTAAAATTAACAATAATAATAATCGTTGCATTCGATACCGAGCTGTCCGAAGGCTGTCTCAAATCAACCCACCACTCGATTCTTGGAAAACATTGGCCAGGGACCAGTCGTACAATAACGCCCCTTTAAGGGCGGAACAGCCCCTTAAGTGGATCCCTGGGAGTGCTGTCGAAGCTTTTAACTGGAAGGAAGCCCCCCCCCCAAAAAAATATTGGCCTCAAGTTCCAGATTAAATGAAACCCAAGGGAAGCTTTATTCGGAATCAAGGCGTGCGTTGAGTGTGTGAGCTACCAGAGGGCGCTGTGCACTGTGTTTCTGAAGGACAAGGGGCGGAACCAAATCCATTCGCACCCAAATGGGATCTTGAACTTTCCAGGGTTACGTGTTTGGCCAATTGCCATATGACTGCAGGCGGGCCCCAGCTTGCCTACAAATGCATTGGTTAGAGTCCTCGCCTCGCAAGCCAGAGGACCCGGTTCGATTCCCCAGGCGGGGCGAAACTTTTAGGCGAGTTTCCTTACTCCGCACACCTCCGTTTAGTAAGCAGTAAGTCGGAATCCGGTTGTCAGTCGATTGGCGGATCGCTTTTCCGGGGGTAATAATCTCTTCCAAGTAAATAAATAAATGAATTAATAAATAAATAACCGAAATAATAATGAATTTGGTCACTCAATCCGCGACTGTTTAGGGGACGCTGCTGTGTGCAATTGGCTGCCGCGTTTCGCCCACAAATTATACAGTCACTCCACTTTTCCAGTTTATCCTGTGAAGCGCTTTGAGACGTCTCGAAGACGTGATAAGGCGCTATATCAAATGCAAGGATTATTATTGTTAATTCTCAATTTCTGCATGTAGGTGACAGATATATATGTAACTAAGGTAACATGTAAGTAGGTTAACAAGAAGGACAGTTGAGGCCAGGACACACAACTCATTTAAGACAGAGCTGTGATGGGAGGATGAGTGTCCTGGAAGGATGAGAACAAACAGGAAAAAAAGGATCTTCTTCATCCAAACATCTCCTGTGATCTCGTGCTGTGAGGCTGAGTACCGAATGCAGCAAAGGATCATTCATTCCTCTTTCATCAGCACTTTGGCTCCTCAAAGTCATGAAATACTTAACGAGAGCAAAAAGGAATCACTCTGCGTGGAACACAAATCCAGAGCTTTAACCAGCTTTGCATTGCCATCTGCTGTTGATAATTGTCAGCCACATTATTCCTCTGCGAATGACAGGCCGATCTTGTTACTATAAGCCCTGGGTTAGTGCGGCTCCTGTATATAGATGTGATGTGGAACCCATGCTATCGTAGAAGTGCTGGTTGCCCGGCTTCCTGTACATAGTACGTAGTGCCCCTCCAGGCTGATGTCCCAATGCGGTTTGGTGGTCAAATTCTGTGGCGGAGAGGAAGGGCGGTTGGGGGGGAATAAGACACTCTACAGCTGACAAAGTGCTTCCTGAATGCTGCTGAAACAAATGCTATTGGGGGTAGAGTGGGGGTGGGGAGTTGAAGAGTTATCCCCAACTGGAGAGGGGAAAGGAAATAGCCCAGAGTATGAGAATGGAAGGCACCCATGCAGCACTGTGTGGGGGCAGGAGGGGAGGGGACAGGGAGGAGGGGGTGGGGGGGCAGAGAGAGAGAGTGGGGTGGGGAGACCCGCAAGCCATTCCCCTGCTGTCAGACTCCTCAGGAAGTAGAGGCACCAATCACCATTGGCTCCGCTAGGAGGAGCTTACCTTTGAGACACTCTGTAATGGGCAACTACTAGAACGCCTGTTTTAGGGTCACGCACTGTTGCTCTGGCAAGCTGCGTTGGAAAAACAACATGGCATGAATCTCAGGGTAAAGCGGGCACCCACCCACACGCACCCACACGCACCCACACGCACACAGTGGCACCAAGCAGAGATGCCCAGGTTTTGATTGGTCGATTTGATTGGACAGAGAGAGAAGGTAGCCTTCACCTTCAGGCCACAGAAGTCAATCAAAACCTTTAATTAAAACCTCCTCCTCCTCCTACTATGGTTGCCACAAGCAATCAGCTTACCTCTGACTGATTCTATAACTTGCTGTTTCTAAAACCCCAGTGACTGAGTTCTTAACTGTTGCTCTTGCCAACTGTGAGATTGAAAGGTTCAGAAGTTAAGTTCTCTTCGTCTGCCAAAGCGGACGCATGAGCAAAAATACATCCGCGTAGATGATTGACTGACTAACTGACTGACAGCCCTTCCCTCTTTTCCCCGAAATTCCACCTAGTCTTAGCCAGTAAGACAGTTTCTCAAGACCCTCCTCGTTGACCGCGCCTAAGGACACCCTCTTACTCCCACCCTCCCTATCCTCCACCCCCCAATCCCCCAGTTGGGGGGAAAACCCTGGGACTGTCCTTCCGTCATGAAAGTCGCCATATAAATGTAATTTGTAGTCATTATTGTTCTAGTTGTTGTTTCGTAACCCAACCTCCAACAAACTAAGGCCAAGCAGGTTCGACTGCAATAGAGGAGCAGTGAGGAGCAGGAAACCTTCTTTACAATTCCTCTACAGCTCCTTCGCCAATTTCCCCAGGGGCTTTAGAGAATTCTCAGCTGCAACCACCCCGTCCCTCCACCCCCACATCGCTCTCCACAAATAAACAACACTAACAACAACAGTAACATCTGGTGCAGCAGATTTTTCACGTCGGGAGGACAGTCCCTTCGCCTCGCTCCTTCCCTCGACTCCTTCGAGGCGTACATCTCAAGACCCTCCTCTTCGACCGCGTCTTTGGTCACCCTCCTACCCTCACCCTCCCTGCCCTCCAACACACCGCCCACCCCACGCCCCGATCTCAAGCCCCAGCTCGGGTCCAAATCCCTGACTGTCCAGCGCCTTGGGACGTCCTCCCGACGTGAAAGACGGTGTGTAACTGTCATGTGTTGTTGTCGTCATCGTCTCAAAGTGTTTCATAGGATATACCGTTAAGGTGGAGGGGCTGCGTATGTGTTGTATGTGCGCACAGCGACCTCCCCCCCAAAACAGCCGTGAAGTGATCGACCGATGTTTATCTGAAGGAACAAACGGTTCCTTAAGCCCTTATGGGCTTTTGCAGCCCACTTCCTAGGAATATCTAAGGGGTCATTTTACCAGTGGAAGTCAGAAGGAGTTTAAATGCTTAACTGATACCTGAAAAGACCCGGGGCAGTTTTTGGGAACATAATTTGGGGGCTGGTTCCGTCAACTTAAATCCCAATTTCCTCCTAAATTTTCTCCACATCTCCTTTAATCCCTTCGCTTTCCATCTCCCCTTTTTTTTAAAACAACATCCCGATTGATTCCCGCAAACGACAAGGTCCGGGGAGGTTAGTAGCAGTGCTGCACTTGCTCTCTCTGATACAAAGGGTTAAGGTAGGGAGGTTGGGAAGGTTTCTCACTCACCCTGGGTTTCGCCAGCTGTTTGATCTTCTGGATTTCCTCGTCTGATAACACATCGTAGTACCGCACAATGTGAGGACTGTCCCACTCGTCTTCCTCCTTGAACGGTTTGAAGGTTAGGCGAGGGTGCTGGTTGGTGTGATAACGACAGAACAGCCTTTTCTGTCTACGGATGGTCTGTGCAAAGCGAGACAGCGATACCACTATATTAACAACGATAACTGAGAGTCCAGTTAGAGCGGTGGTGGTTAGAGCTCTCGCCTCACAAGCGAGTGAGCCTGAGTTCGATTCCCCGGCAGGGCAAAACCTCAGGCAAATCTCCTTACTCCACCCGCCTCTGTTTACCTTGCAGTAAGTAGGAACCCGGTTAGTAGTTCGATTGGCGGATTGCTTTCCGGGGAAAATAATCCCTCCCAAAAAAATGTGGGAGCTCAATCCACGACTATTTGTGGGGACGCTGCTGTGCGCAGTGGGCTGCCGCGTTTCACGCGCAAGATGCAGTGAATCCATTTTACAGCCATATCCTGTGAAGGGCTTTGAGACGTCTCAAAGACGCGATGAGGCGCTGTGTCAAACGCACGGATTATTGTTGTTACTGTTAATATTATCATAGCAACGTCTTGCACAGATGGGAGCTGTCCAGAGCATTATTTGGGCAGGTTGGGCCGGGTGTCTACACGTGCGGAAACCCATCCACCGTCGCTTACGAGTCTCCAAACCAAACTGAGAATTCCACGCATTCCACCTACATGTGGAAATCCCAGCGATAAGATTGTTGGAATGGAATGCACTCTCTCTCTCTCTCCTTTCTCTCTCTCTCTCTCTCTCCCGGGAGGATCGGATCCAGGAAGCATTAGGCGCAGGTTGGCGGAACATTGTAGAGCATCCTGCCTCAGGCGCTTACCATTTTAATTCCCTCTCCCCTGCACAGAGCCTGGTATGCATCCCTCTCGAACACGTAGTTTGCAGGCTGGATGGACACCCTGTCTTCGGAGGCAACTTCCCCCTCCGGCTCCTGGTGATTCTTGTCCCGCTTTTGGCTCTCTTCCAACAGCACGCTCTCGAAGTACTGCAGGTTGGTCTTTGCTCTTTCGTGTGTCGGATCTGCTCGGGAGGGGGCGAAAGGCAGAAAAGACTTGTAACAAAAGCCGTGTTATTTTCACACTCGCGCCCGCCCGCACGCTCTCCTCAAAGTGTTCCGCACTCAGGACGGAACCGGAATCGGCGGTGGGGCAGAGAACGAGAAGAAAAAGGGGGTTGCGGTGGGGTGTTCGGATTAATAATCTCTCGCCTCCTTCAAGGTCCGTCTCAAGACTTCCTCGTCAGCGTCTTTGGTCATTCTCCCCCCCACCACCACCACAGCCCACCCCCCCCCAACCCCCCACTTGCCCTCCAACCCTCTCGACTCCAGCCCCGCAGCTCGGATGCAAAAGGTGTTATGTAAATGCAATTTATTGCTGTTATTGACGTGGTTAATCAGGCCTCTCGGTGAGCGCGTGCCTTTTAAATGGAAACACGGATTTAAATTGAGGTGCAGTCAGGAAAGCCAACAGCATTAGGCACTCTTTGCTGAGTTTCCAATTGGAAGAGTAACCTCGCACGCTGCCGGTTAGCAATTAATAACACTCCCAGCCGCTGGTTTGGTAATTATTGAATGAATTTAAGAGGAGAGTGTGCGTGCCGGGTCAAAGGGTGAAAAAAAAAACAACTACAATCTTAAACTGCAGTTCCAAATTCCTGGATCATTCCAGTCTGGCCAGGAGCCCGTCACAGCATTCCGCCGTCAGAAATCCATCCTCTCCAAGGATAATGTTGGCAGACGTTACTGCCAGGAAATGGGAGTTCGATCAGAAAACCAGCTGCCAGTGATTCAATGAAGAAAAACTGCGTGTTTTCGATACGCCACTCTGACTTGGTGACTTCTCCCGTCGAGGCTCTCTTCAGTAAATATAGCGAGTGACTGCGTCAGACGCGGAGCGGATAACACAACGACCGGTGACATCTACCGACGGCCTTCGCGACAGGTGGACGTCCCGAGGCGCTGGACAGTCTGAGATTCGGAACCCGAGCTTGTGGGGAGGGGGTTTGGGATCGGGAGGGGTGGAGGAAAATAAAAATAAATGGGTGACTCAATCCGCGACTGTTCGTGGGGAGACCCTCCGTGCGCAATTGGCTGGCGGTTTTGCCCACAGAATATGCGGTCAATTCACTTTATGGTATATTCTGTGAGACATCTCAATGAGGCGCTGTATCAAACACAAAGATTATTATTAGTAGTAGTGTTGATCTACAGCACTGAAAATCCCCTTTAGTCTTCATTGGACTGTAATGTTCACCTCTTAATATCTTAGCATTATTGTTATTATTATTATTAGTGGTGGTGGATCCAGTTTAAACGATGACATAGAGTAACCGGGTCGTACAGGTTAGGCTGGGTTCTCACCGATGGCGATCAGACGTTTTGTGAGCTCTACAGCCCGGCCGTAGTCTCCCATCTTGTACACGGAGTAGCTGAGATAGTCCAGGATTTCACCTTTGAACACTGTGGACTCCTCCCCCTGGTCCAGCTGCTTGATGGCCTGTTGCATCCACAGCGCCGTGTGGTAGTAATCGCTTTCCCCGTACGCCGTCTTGCCCAGTTCGAAGCAATCGTCCACGGTGAGAGACGTCCTGTACTTCACGCCTGTCAGGGAGAGGATACCAGACAATCCGGGTTTACATTTGAAAACTGGGAGGATGTCTCAAGGCCTTCACAATTGTGTGTGTGTTTGTGGGTGGGTGTCTGTGTGGGTGGGTGGGTGGGTGTCTGTGTGGGTGGGTGGAGTGTTGTACTGTGGTTTATCGAGCACGTACCTGGCAGGTTGCCCCTGGAGATGCTGTCGGAATCCAGTTTGTACGTGTCCTGAAGACGCATCAAGGCCAGAGCTGCTCCGCTTTCATCCTCATCCGTCGGGAATCTCTGCCTCTGAAGTGAGAGGTTAGCGATGAATCCTATGTGGGGGAAAAAAAAAAGAACCATAAGCTTCCTTCCTGGCGGGTGTTAAATTGAGGTCTAGTGGGTGGAGTCAGGCTCCGCCACCGTTAAACGCTCTGAGACGCAACCCTGTGTGGAGAGCGCTAAATAAGTGCACGGTGTGTGTTCTTGTTGTTCTCTTCGGTGGTGGTGACTCATAGGAACAGGAGGAGGCCATTCAGCCCCTCGAGCCTGTTCCACCATTCTATTGGATCATGGTTGATCTGTACCTCAACTCCAATTACCCTCCTTTCCCCTGTATCCCTTGATACCCCGACCTCACAAACATGTATCCACCTCAGTCTAGAAAATGTGAATGGAACCAGCCATAATCCACGGCCTTTTGGGGGAGGAAGGGATAGAGAGAAAGAGAGCTCAGAGATTTCCACTAGACTTGGGGGTGGGAGAGTGGCTGAAGGCACGGTCGAAGAGGAAGGTCTTTGGACGGGAATTGAAGGAGGCAAGAATCTGACGCAGGATTGAATTGCTATAATCATCTCCCGCAGAGATTTGGTGGTGGTTCACCTGCACCGACCTGGTCCTCTCACTCACCATCTGACGTGTCCTGCAGCACCAGGCTCTCTAACTGTTGCCACTCCATGTTGAGTCGCTTCATGAGCTTATACGCGTTGACCGGATGGCCCAGATACCCTTCCGGGTCGGAGGTGGAGACCTGGGTCAGCTCGTCGAGCTTTTCAGCCCAGCTGGAACGATGGCAAAAAATGGGGGCTTCCGTTAAACTCGCAGAGCATCAATCCTACCAAGGAGGCCGGTCACTCTTCACAATAATAATCATTATCGTCATCATCGTAATCCTTGCATTTGGGAGAGCACAGTTTCACATCGTGAGGATGTCTCAAAGTGCTTGGCAGGATATATTACGAAGGGCAGTGGTCTGTGTAGTTTGTAGCCGAACACAGCAGCCAATTTTGCACAAACCGCAAAGTAATAATAATAATATTATTATTATTATAAACAGCAAAGTCCCACAAACAGCCACGAAGCAAATGATTGTCGGCCAGGACAGGGCGGTGGGGGGCTGGGGGCGGAGAGGGGGAGACAGTAACTCTCTTCTTTTTTCCAATAGTGACACAGGCTCTTTCGCGTCCACTTGGAACAGACAGAGGGGTTCCTTGGGTCAATGTCTCATTGAAAGGACAGCACCTCTGACAATACAGGGCTCCCCCAGTACTGCACTGAAATGTCAGCCTAAACTATGAACTCAACCCGCCTCAGTGGGCCTTAAACCCACAACCTTCTGACTCAAGAGGCGAGAGGGCTAGCTACTGAGCCCGGCTGAGACACAGATAGGTAACAAGAGTTTCAGTACCAATCATCCCGCAGACATCCTTTCACGGTAAGATTTTTTCTTAAAACAGATTACCAGTCCTTACTTTTTAATTGTAGTTAGTTTGGTCTCTTCTGCTTTGATGTATTCTTTCAGAGATTGGAGCAGGTCTTTCTCTGTGTAAATGAGGTCTGTCATCTGACCTGAGAGAAACAGGGAAATGTTTAGACACAGGGGATCAAAGAAGCTGTTGGAGAGATAACGCACAGACCCACAAAACAACCACAAGGCGAATGATGACAACAGAATCTGGCATTCACACGGCTCCCATCACACAGGGTAGCGCCCCAGAGGGCTTGGGAGTGGCTGAGCACGACTCCGAGCTGGGAGGTGGGTGACCGTAGGCACGGTCGAAGAGGAAGGCGGAGGGGGACAGGGGACGAGTGTTGCGGAGTTTCGGGGCTTGGTGACTGAGAGGACGCAAGGATAACGGTCACGTTATTATTATTATTGCTGAAGACGGGCAAATACTATCTAACGTGAATGTGTAGACTCACGCTGAAGCCATTTGGCACCCACCGACATCACACAAGGTGTCGTGAAGCAAACGAACGCTTGATCTGGAGGATTGTCGGTTGGCACGGGTGCGGGGAGGGGAATGTGGGTCATATGTAGGAGCAAAAAATATTCCACGAGAGAGAGAGAGAGAGAGAGAGAGAGAAAATTGGTTCACTTTCCATAAGTTTCGATGTAAATGCCAGAGGATTCTGGGCCAGAGCAAAAGAAAACAGCAACCCAAATGTTTCGCGATATCTAAAAAAACACAGGGAAGTTCTCCGTCGGGAATAATAAACCTTGAATTCGCGGAACAGGCCAAGCTGTTCCAGCCTGTTCCAACTCTCCACTTACATGCCTGGCACTGAGGGGAAAACATTTCCACTCTGGGAAAAATAATAAGCCGACGGCATCCAGAAGGAGAAAAGGAAAAAAAAACACACACACACGATGCAGCTCAAATGCTTCTGTAAAGTCCTAACTTCGTAAATCCATTCACTCCCCGGCACCTCCCCTACCTCTCCGACCTCCTCACTTCCCTCAGTCCACCACCCATCACCTCCGCTCGAGCGGTGAAGGCCTCCTTCCTGTCCCTCGTACCCTCTGACCCACCGAGTTTACCCGTAATTGGCTGCCGTGTCTCGCCCACGAAATACGCAGTCAATTCACTTTACGGCGCAGCCCGTGAAGGGCTTTGAGACGTCTTGACCACATAAGACGCTGTATCAAATGCAGGGCTTGCTGTAATTATAGCTCTGTTTTGGCTGGCAAGACAAATTGCCAGGCAGATGCGCTTTTGTGAGCATGTGATAATTATCGCATTTTATACTAATCCTTGCATTTGGTAGAGCGCATCAACGCACTTCACTGGGTATACTGCAAAGCGGAGTGACTGTGTGTATCTTCGGGCGAACACAGCAGCCAGTTTGCGCACAGTGCCTGAACTGGCAGATGGGGGGGGAGAGGTTTAACATCTCACTTGAAGCTAATCCCCAATCAGACTGACACGCAGATCTTACCTATGGACGTGAAGAATTCAGCTTGTGTGTACCACGTACAGCACCAGGTTACCAGCAGGAGATAAAGTGCCCAGTATTCCATGTTCACAGACAGTGGATGCGACCTAAGGGACCAAAAATAAGTCGGTCAGTCGTAGTCAGTCAATAGCTCGCTCTCGCCCAAGGACAATGTAAAAACAAGTGCTGTGTTTATGTGTGTGTGTGTATGTCTGTCTGCGGTTAGCAGGTTATGTGGTTGTATGTGTGTTTGTGCGCGTGAAGTAGTGGGTATTGTGAGTTGAGAATAAAAGTACTACTTGATACATCAATGTTGTGGATTGAGAAACATTAGAGTGGGTGTACTTGTAAGCGTGTGCGTGTGTGCGTGTGTATGTGTGTGTGTTGCTGTCTACGTGTATGTGTGTGTGTGTGAGAGGGAGAGAGGGAGTTTGGCAGGTTTTAATGTTGGATAGCAAACGCCAGTAAGATTTAGAGTCGTGTAACTAAGTCTCATAAATTTAATACTTATGATTTTAGTAAGGGTGGAAACTGTGATTCACCACAAATATTATTGAAACGCCAAAATCTTTTCCAGTGAATTTTGGCCCATTAAAACATTCAACATACATTATCCACCCACACACAATATAGACGCCCCCCATAAACCTCAGAAAGCGAGTGAAGTTTACCAGTTTCAACTTTAATGATTGAACACCGGGTTATTGGGTTATTCTTGAAATAATGGTCACAGAACAAAGCAACACTGATTTGCCTAAACTGACATGATTTATACCGTTGTTTTCGGATCAGATGCAGCAGAAGAGGTTTTTTTTTGTAAACTGTCTTCTGTATTTCGCCCAGAAAATACACAGTCAATTCACCGTGCGGTAGACCCTGTGAAGTGCTTTGAGACGTCACGAAGACGTGATAAAATGCGAGGTGATAACCTGCACCAAATGCGAGGTGATAACCTTACCAACAAGTTATCTTTTCACCAGAACTTGTACAAGACGAGTGGACAAGACCTGGCGGATAAGAATCTAACTCGACGTCTCTCTCTGCCGGTAGAAAGAAAGAGCTTCGTCAAGTCAGAACGCTTCAAGAATCTTCGGGAGCAATTACTGCCTGTTGTAATGATTGCTTTTTAACGGCAATAGCAGCAGCCTGTTGCACATCTGGTCTCACAAACAACCAGTGGAGTGGTTGATTGATTAATCTCGAAGGTTGTTGGCCAGGAAACTCCCTTCTCTTTTCGAATAGCGCTGTGAGGTTTTTTAATGTCCACCTGAGACGGAACCTGTGTTTAACGTCTCATCTGTAACAGCATCTCTCCACCCCCTCCAGCACCCCCACCGCACTGCTCTGGAGCATCAGGCAACGAGATCAAATCCCATGGGCTGGAGTCTGATAAGGAGAACGTGTTCCGAAGGGGGAAGGGAAGGAAGGCTAGATTTACGATCGGAGATTGTAGCAATGTCCGGTGCTAACGTTAGCCACAACTTGGCCGTCTGCAGGCATAAGTCGGCCAAGTCCATCATCACTCACGTACGAATGTGCTTTCGGATAAACACAGAAGATAGCCACCATATGGTCCAAGCTTCTGAGACTGGAGATGAGACGTTGCCAATAGATTTAAGAAGGAACCGGACAGATGCTTGGCAAGACAAAGTGAATAAAAACAATACAGTTGGTGTTGTTCAGATACTGGCACCAGGCAATGATTTCTCTCGACTGAGACGTGTCTAAAAACACGGGGCGAAAGGAGTGGGGGGCGGCGGGGGGGGGCTATTCATAGAATCCTACAGCACAGAAGGAGGCCATTCGGCCCATCGTGCGTGTGCCAGTTCTTTGAAAGAGCTATCCAACTAGTCCCACTCCTTCGCTCTTACCCCGTAACCCTACAAATGTTTCTTTTGCGAGTACCTATCCAATTCCCTTTTGAAAGCTACTTTCAAAATCTGCTTCCACCACCCCTTCGTAACAACTCTCTGGGTAAAAAGAAATCTCCTCACCTCCCTTCTGGTTCTTTTGGCAATTCTCTTAAATCTGGGTCCTCTGGTTTACCGACCCACTTGCCCGAAGAAACAGTTCCTCCTTATTTACTCTATCGAAACCCCTCATAATCTTGAACACTTCCACCAAATCTCCCTCCAACCTTCTCTGCTCTAAGGAGAACAATCCCAGCCTCTCTGATCTCTCCACATAAACTTCCTTGAAAGGAAAAAAAAAAGGACGGTTTAGGAATCTGTGGTAACCGCAGCGAAATGCAATTGAACTTTTTTTTCAGTGCTAAATATACTTTGATGGTTTTCAAACCATGGCCATTTCCTGCCACAAGTCTGAGGCTATCACTGGGGCGAGACAGAATTTGTCTTATTTCCTTTCCCAACCTGACATTTCTGATGCTGGCAAGAAAGCAAAGGAGATTGAACTATTTTGTTCGTGTTGCTTAACAATTTCCACCCTGCCCATCATGTGCCTCCAGTGGTCATAATAATAATCCTCACATTCGATACAGCGTCTATCAGGTCAGAGGGGGACATCTCAAAGGCACTTACTATATACGTGTAATCTGTAACAACCATGCAGTCCCGTAGTGTAGCGTTGGAACGCTCGCCTCGTAAGCGAGAGGATCCGGGTTCGATTCCCGGGCGGGGCGAAACCTTAGGCAAGTTTCCTTATTCCACACGCCTCTGTTTTCTTCGCAGTAAATAGGAACCCAGTTCTTAGTCAATTGGCGCATCACTTTCCGGGGGTAATAACCCCTCGAAAAAAAAATATTAACGGTTGATATTTGCCGGGTGCACACACAAGGCAGGACGGACGCCTGGTTTGCCCTCAAACCCCCCCGTTTGCTGGAATAGAATGTCTCAGGATGTCTCCCACATCTTTTACTGGCGACTGTAAATTCAGAAATCTGGTCTGCGCCTGCGGGCAGCCTCTGACGTAGCCGAACGCTAGGAACATGCAGGGAGAGTGGGGGGGAGGTGGGGGGGAAGTGGGGGGGGGAGGAATGGGAGGGAAGGGAGAGTGGGAGGAGGGGGAGGTGGGGGGGAATGGGAGGGAAGGGAGAGTGGGGTAGAGGAACAGGGTGGAAAGATTTCTCACGGTGCTACGTGCTTGGAATCCGATCTCCATAAAAACAGAGCAGGAGTTCAGCTCTGAGTAAAGTTACACCGGTGAAAGTTTTCACCATTGAGTTGTGTAAAAGGAGACTGTGAGGGCCGAGTGAGCACCAGACGTACATCATTTCCTGGCAGTGTTGCTTTGTGTAGAGTTACAGATTTCCATATCTACACATGACCTCAGAGGATTTATTTTCAACCTTACTTTCAGTATCCAACGCTGAAATGAATGCATTTGTTGTTCTGCCGAATCGGGGGTTTAGATTAAATCAACAAGAACTTACCAAATACAACAAAGAAGAATAAAATCTTAGGGGCTTTTTAAGGCCAATATAGAGACCAATGTGGTGAAATCCCACCTGGGTCTAGATTTATGCTACACAGGATTTTAGGGAATCCAGAGTTCGTCAAAAACTCGAACACGGCTTTAATTGCAAAGCTTTTTTTCCCCCTGTAAATTCCTTTCAAGAACTGCAGAAAAAAACAGCTCCAAAGTTAAGACGGAATTCAACAGTTTGCTAAATTGATAAGAATAATAATCCTTGCATTCGATATAGCGCCTATTTATGTCGTCGGGACGTCGCAAAGCGCTTCACAGGATACGCTGTAAAGTGGATTGACTTGTGCATTTTGTGGGCGAAACCTGGCAGACAGTTTGCACACAGCGGCGTTCCTCAGACAGCCATGGAATGAGTGACCAATTTTATTTGGGGGAAGGTTGGCCAGGACACCGGGAGAAACTCCCTGCCCTTTTCGAACAGCGCCTCGGGATCTTTAATGTCCACCTGAACAGGCAGACGGAGAGTGAGGTTTAATGTCTCACCTGAAGGACGGCGGCGTCTCTGACAATGCAACAACCCCCACCCCCGACCCCCAACCCCTACACTGGAGCGTCAGTTTAGATTGTGTGATTCCAGGTCCCAACACGGGGCTTGAACCCACAACCTTATGACTCAGGAGGCGAGCGTGATATCACTGCTGACACAACAACATCCAATTCTGGATGCTCCGAAATGCTACATAAAAATAGAGTCCGTTAAGACCCGGGTGGAATTTCTCTCCCAACCCCCCTCCCTCTCCGCCATCTGGTCTATAATAGAGTTACAAGATACATAGCACATGTAGAAAGGTTTGGAGAATTATATAGTGAACTGTAGCCAGTAATGGAAGGGAGATGGACACACACACACACCCACACACTCACACACACAGTCACTCAACACACATAAATATGGCTTTTACAAAGCTTTTAGTCTCAGTGAGAAGTCAGGATGTGTTTGCCTAGGCTTGGATTCCGTTAAGCTTGTGACCTATGGTATGTTCCTCTTTCTTGAAATGGAAACTTGGGACCTCAGCCAAATTTCCATTGGAAAACAAGAGATTCTAGCTGTTTGGATCTGATGTCAAGGCATGTGCTGAACCCTGATATAACTCTCACTGGCTTCGCTCTAGTTTTTGGCAAGGAGTGTGGGGGCGGGGAGGGAGAAGATGGGTATTTGCGCTTTGCTCCCAATGGCAGTGATCAGAAATGAAATGGAAGTCGTCGTGTCACACGATCACCAGCATCAAACGATGCATCCAATGCGGTACGTTAATAAAATAATAAATTAGTTCCACCATCTCAGACCCGTTTCACCATGACGTGCCAATAATAATAATAATAATAATAATCCTCGCATTTGATACGGTCATATCTTCGAGACGTCTCAAAGCGCTTCACAGAACACACTGTAAAGCGAACTGACTGTAAATGCCTGCGGGCCAGTGAAGAAAACCTCCACTAATCTCACTCAGTAGTTTTCCAACTCGCAACTCATAAAAAGAATTGGGGGGAGGGGGGAGATTTGAACCCAGATTTGAATCCAAAAAGCAATCAATAGGACCATGAGGTAAAGCAGGACAATTCAGCAGTACTTCAGATGCAGTACACATTAAGGACACATTAAGAAACCAGTAATGATAAGGATGCAAAGTACGGAACAGGTAGTTTGTCACATCTC